CCGCTCCTGCCGCTCCGGTCCACGCCGCCTCGCCTTACGTCACGTCCGGACGCGGCGCAGCGCCGAGCTCCTTGAACCGCCGCAGGGCGAGCAGCCGAGCGCCGAGCGCCCCGAGCGCGGCACGCCGCCATCGTGGCGCCCGGTGTGGGAGCAGGCACACTGAGCGCAGGGGTGATAGTCAGCCCCGTCTCTGCGCCTTCTCCTCCCCGCCGCCCCTCACCCTCACTTGCCAGGCAGCCCAGCACTGCAGGGAGGCAGGCAGGCCCCGGGGCGCAGGCGATCTCCTTACTCAGACCAACAAGATACTTGCGCGCACACAAAAAAATCCTTAACTGCCGGCTTTCGGGCACAAGCGCCCTTCATCAGGCACCGGTCCTGTGCGGAAATGCAAGCTCCTATTTCCTGGGATTTCACGGAGGGTGTGAAAGCTGGCGAGGAACCTCTCTCCTCTTTTGCGGATCTGTGATGGTGCAAATCGCCCTGAACCCAGGCGGGAGGAGGATCTCGGGTTTCGGCTGGTCACCGTTGCACCCTGCTTGGGGAAATACGAAGTTTTCATTTTAAAAACTGGCTAAAATTCAGTCTCTTCCATCTTCCAGGTTGTAGCCATATTGGTTTAGAGGAAAAAGCGGTCGGGGCTCGTGGTAGAGGTGATCTCTTACGAGACCAACAAGAGTTTTGCTGTATTGGTCTAGAGGAAAAAGGACAGAGGCATTGGGTCTCGTATCAATAGAGGACAGAGTAGCAGAAAACCGGAATGTCCTCTGTGATGGCCGCCCTAGCTCACCAGGAGGGGGAACTGATGTAAAGGAGTAGACCTGTCCTTGCCATCAGGAGCAAAGCTGGAAGGGAAAAAGGGAGGCAATGGGTGGATGAAAGGGCTGCTACTGCACCCAGCCTTTCATTTTGTTACTGGTCTCTTTGAAGGCCCCGTGTGTTAGCCAGATCCCAGACCCCCCAGATGCAAATCCTTGAGTGTGTTTATTATGCTAGCAGGCAAGTTTCTTAGAGTAGACGTGATATCTTGTATTAGACCAACTTTATTATTCTGGGTCTCCTTTTGGATTGCAGGCGTTGGCCCGTGAGATGAGACAGGCCTTTGAAGATAACACATTAAAACATGCAGAAAAGGCTGATGACCGCTGCATCAACACTGCGCTAGTTCAGGAGTGCAAGTGCTACCTGGGGCCAAAGCAGAGGACTGGGCTGAGATGGCTGCAGTTCTGTTTCTGGCTTTGCTTAAGATTGCCTGGATGCACTTTGCTGGGTTATTCGCTGCTCGGTCATCAATGACTATTAGGATTGTTTGCCCAACTTGTGAAACTGCAGGGCCAGCAGTCAGAGGTGCTGAGCTTCTGCAGCTCTTGATGACTTGAGCTTGGGTGGCAGGTGCTGAAAAGTGTTGCCAATTCTCCTAAAATGCAGGATTCTGGCTTTGTGGGTTGAGGAATTGATGCCTAAGGGCAAGCACACACTTCAGTGCTTCACACTCCAAGTGTCTCTGACCTTGCCCTGTCTGACACGAACGCAAGGCAATGTGACATTTTTAAGAACAAAACAAAGTTCCTTAGTGCACTGCTCTTCCCCTGAAGCAAGGATGGGAAGCTGAGCAACCGTGTGATGAATGCTAGTTACACTGCCTGATGCCCTACTGTAAGGGGCTCAGATTCTACATAATAAAAACCTGTAAGGAATAAAATAAATCCTGGGTATTTCAAGCTGAGCACCTGCAAACTGAGGCACTGAAACTCAAGAAACGGTATGGCCATAGATCTTAGAAAGTCTGGCTCGTTGTGACGGGCTTTCTAGAACTATCATACCCCTTGCTCCACTCTGACCTTGCACCAGCCATCCCAGGCTTCTCAGTTTCTCGCATGCGTAATGCAATATGAGCATTACCTTCCACAGATGTTGAGAAGTCATTCATTTTTTCCTGAGAGGCAAGGATTTCTTAGGGTGATCTCTTTTATTGGACCATCTCTATAGTTGGGATAAAGTTAGACAGACTTTCACATGCAAGTCATTCTTTGTCTGGTCTTCATTTTTCCCAACTGTTTTGGGGATTCCTGTGTGGGAGATGCTTTACAAGTCCAAAAAGTCTTCAAGAAACCCCATTTTGACATGAGGCCTTGCCTGGGATCAAGTGAAGGGTAAGAGGTTTCTGATGAGCAGCATTGAAGCCTAAGGCCGTCTGTTCCAGAGATACTGGTGTCTTTGTAAACTGACTTTCCAATGAGCTGAGCTCCACACGGTGGCACTCCAGACTTAGAGATGCAGCTAGTGCTGCTGGGCAGAAGCCTGGGTAGCTTTGTGCCTCATAAACTAACTCAATCAGAGACGTATAGCATGCGCTTGGATAAGCAGAGGGCTGACTTCATCAGATGCCAACCACAATTAGGCATCTTTGGCCCTCCCACCTGGGTGCCCAGCCAGACTGGAGCCTGATGCTTGTTTTGTGCAGGTGTAAGCAAAGACTCGGGTTCAGGGAACTGCAGATTCAGTTGTATCCCCAGACAAAGTGCTGGTGAAAATGCAAACCCAGAATAACCATTCTCTGCTCTTTGCACCAGACACCATCATAAACATGGAGCCGTAACAAGTTTCTGCTGTCTCCAGCTGGGCACAGGCAGCAGGTATAAGCACATCAACTGAGCCTTGCTGGGTCACGTTTCACATTTCTTTTATTTCCACAAGTACATATGACAATGGATCTGTGCACAAAGCAGTTCTGTACAGAGCCTGAAGGAAGATTGATTTGCTGTGCAAAAATGTGACTTCTAATTAGCTAGCTCTGAAGGCTGTTAGGTGGTACCAGTGACCTCTCAGCCACACAATCTGTGTGGTGAAACCAAGGTTATTCTGGTGTGACCAGTAAGAGCTGTTGGAGAAACAGCAATCAATCACTGGCCTTTCAGCTTTGGGGGCAGAGGTTAAATCCCAGTCACAGGAATTTAGTTCACTCGCTCAAGCCCCTTATATGCCCGTGACTTGGCTCAGGAATGGGAGTGCTGGGCTGAGCTAGTAGCTGCAAGCTGGAACGGAGATGTGGGAAGCCATGTGGGATGGGGCTAGGACAGCCATAGCAAAAGCAAACAGTGCTGCCCACTAAAGCGATGATGACCCAGGGTGAGTGTCATAGGGATATTTTACAGGTGAGGATTAGGCCGCATGGTCACAGTGCAGGATGAGCTGGGCTGTGCTATGCCTGGCTGTGCAATATGGAAGGGAAGCAGGGCAGGAGGCCCGCCTCTGCGAAGAGGGCCAGCATCCTACTCTCCATTGCACAGAAGTGAATCTTGGCCCTGTGGCTCAGCGTGACAGGTCTTTTAGAGTTGTCACACCCCTTTCTCTGCAGCTGAGTTCACACTGCAGCTCCTGAACAACATCCAGTCCTAGGAACGCCTTCCCGTGGTTGTACGTGCTGAGGGGATGTTGGCAATTCCACCATCAGCCCTTGTGCTCGGAGAGCTGGGACTGAGCCGGGATCATGCTGCAGGCTGCAGCTTGACCTTGGAGCTTTGTTCCAGAGATGGAATTTGCTTTTTAAAGTCACCTCTTTGTTCAAGGCAAACGCACTCCTACTGCTCTCCCTCCCCTCCCCTCCCACGGGGGGAACCCAACAAGGTTTTACCTGAGAGGAAAGAGGACAGGAAAAGTGCCTTGGTTCACTGCCTGCCCTGCAGATTTTGAAACCGCTTAACAGACTGGTAACCTGGCTCCAGCTTTTGTGCAGTGGAACTGAACATGGCAACTTCTCTGTAGAAAATTATGGGGGTAAGTTCAGGCACATGTGTGTGCAGTAGGGCTGTGCAAAATTGCAGCGGCAGTTTTGTTTTGACTTGTTTCGAGCTGGAGACAGCGAAATCGAAACGAAACAGAGAGCTTCGAAACAGCCTCAAAACGAGGCAAGTGGAAATGTTTCGAAATTTTCTAAATCTTTCGAGTTTCAAAGCTCAAGCAGGGCTTACCTGCAGGGAAACAGAAACTAAAGTAAGGAGAGGGAGGGGGAAGAGGGAAAGGAGTGCTCTCATTATTGACTCTGCAGCTGGCCAGTGACTGCCATCCTTCCCTGAGGTCCCTGCCAATCCCAGGGCTCTGGGGGAGGGATGGAAAAACAGCATAAAAAGCATTGTTTGAACTGAGCTTTCTCTGTGCCTTCACACTTTCAAGAGACACAAGTTTTGCTC